ATAACCCAATTTTTGTCTGAGATCTGACAATTTCATTCATTCTGACATGAAAAATATTGAACACTACTATTTTCAGCCACTAGAGGGTCCTCGACTAATATGGCAAGCCAAGTTTCTCATTAATAGGTAAAAGTAGCTATTAATGAGACACTTGGCTTGCCATGCCAAGCCACCTTCATCTCGCTCTGGAACTCCTGGAGTAAACATCAAATCAGCTGCATTTCGTTGCGTCGCCCAGGCGAAACGTGTAACAAATGCGACGCGTCAGCAGACGCATAATAGGTGCAACTTATGCGGCTAAGCGACATTTATGTTTTTTTCCACTTGATTAGACATTTTTGGACTGATGCGACTTATACGGCGGTGCAACGTTTACGGAGGCAAGCACGGTAATCAAACTGAGAAAACACCTTCAATGGACCTACATAAACTTGCACACACTTTTTCTCATTTGTGAGCAAATCATCTTAAATGCATATTGAAAACAGGTGCAAATGAAAACAAGTATCTACAATTAAAGCCAAATTGAAAATTGAAATGATAAAAAAAAATCGAGTGCTACAAAACAAACAACTGCCTTGTGATTTAACTATAATTTGAAACATACACAAGACTATTTTTTTTTTTTTTATCAACACATTGTTTTGCAGCTTGAGAACTAAATTACGAGGTGAATTAAATATGCACATATTGTAATTGAATTGATTAGAACCACTTTTATAATATAATCTGCATTAGCTAGCCTTTCTGAATACTTTATTTACTGAACTCATTTGTCATATTAAGAGTTTCCCTTTAAGTTTCGCTTCTTACAAAAATGATTTAGAATTGAACAAAAATCCTTTAAAGATTTGCTACACTTCCTTTTCAAAACAAATTTTCATAAGAAATTTAAACCTCAAAATCATTTTTCCCTCACCTGTGTGCACCTAAGTTAACACAGCTAATTCCCAAGTTATAGCGACTGCGGACGAAACCTGGCTGCAGCTCCAAAGCTCTCCTGTAGGCGGCCACGGCCTCTTCTGAGCGGCTTCCGTTGGCCAATGTAGCTCCCAGCTTATTCCACAGAAGGTAGTCCTTCAGGGACCATGAGACAACAAGGGAAGAGCTAAAAACATGTTGACTGTATTGTGAAAATGGTAAAATTTCCGCGTTGACCTTTAAACTCACATGAGGAGTGACAGAAAGAGCAGCACTGAAGCAGTCCACGGCCTTGTCATACTCTCCACTGAGGTTGAAGAGAACCCCCAGACCACACTGCAGCTGAGGGTCTACCTGCGAGGGGTCAGAGTTGGCTGCATGCAGAAACAGGTTCTGGACATCATTAAACAAAGATCTGCTCAGGAAAAAAACAAAAACAGAAAAGCACAAAGAAAGACCCATTAAGGTATTGCTAGTATGAACTCAATCCAAATATTAATTTAAACCTAAAATCTCATATGTGAATCAAACTCACTCTGGCAACAACGACCCGAACCTCTCCTTTTCTTTTTCCCTGTCTCTGATAGTATCCTTTTGACGCTCCATCTCGTGCTGCTCCCACACAGAGCGGTATTTTGGATTGTGCTTCAGCCAGTCACGTAAAGTCTCACAGGCCTGCCTGTGCAGAGATTCATTAGTGAAGCTGACGGCCAACGCCATCAGGGCGGTCAGGTTGTCCTTCTTCAGCTCGATACACCTAATGAGAAAAGGTGACGGGGGGGAGTCACAAAAATAATGAATCTCTTACGATTAGTATCTGTCAAATATCTACCGTAATAAGGCACTGCTAAATTTTTTAAACAACAATATTTGACTGGTTATGTAGGAAGGGATGAAACTGGAAAATGTGATTTGAGACACAAAAATCTCAAGTAGAAAGTTATTATGCATTTAATATAACGAGCCAATATATAATAATGAAATCTGTCAGAGTGTTACAAATATTTTTTATCAAAAAAAGAAAATAAAAATCACCTCAACTAGCTCAGATAAAAATATCTATGCTGTCTCCTGCTGTTATAAAATATAGAACATTTTTGGCTCAAAAAAGAAGTTTAATTTTTTATTTTACAATGATTGCTTCTGACCTGCGGAGGGCGCTGATTGCTGCAAATTCCTGTTCATTCTCTGCCTGACAGGTTCCCAGATATTGCCAAGCCTGCAATTTAATTAGAATAAAAATAAATCGCAATATTTTATCTACATGTAATCACTTCTTCATCGTTTGAAATAAAAACCAATAGATTATGCAATATTTAACCTGTCAGGGTAAAAAAAAAAAAAAGCTTTAAGAAAAAGCTTTAAAAAAAATTAAAGCACATACTTTTTTGCACGATATTTAACTTAATACCAGGTAATCAAAGATGTTAAACACGCTGTATGGTTCTCACCAGTTGGTTGTTCGGTTCCTTCTGCACGGCACTTTCAAAAAACCGTACAGCTCCAGGAATGTCCCCCGCCTCCATCCTCTTCAATCCTTCTGAAAACGGATCCGGATGGGATAAGTAGGGGTTCTCCTCTTCAAACTGATACCCCTGCAATGGATGGATAAAAAAATAAAGAAACTGAAGACACTAGAAAACCTCCGAACACAGAAAATGATGATTTTCTTCAGATACTGGTTGCCCTGAGCAGCTACCTTGTCATAAGAAGAGCTGAGCAGCTGATCGTAGTCCGACAGCCAGGGATGGCTCTCTGCATCTCTCTTGGCCATCTCCTCCCACTCCTGCTGCAGCTTCTCCCAGAAATCCACATCACTCTGTCAAAATGAAATACAAACTTTTACTCACCGTTTTCCTTGCCTCATTCTGCATTAGAGACATGCTTGACTTTTTGTCCTATTTTACCTGTTGCTCTTAAACCTAACAGAACACATTTTTTTTTAAATCACTACACTTCAGATGAAAACTCTGCCTTTTGGTTGGAGGTTTCTTCTAATTTGTCTTACCTCCACTGCAGCTTTGGCTTGCTGGAAATCCGGTCCAGGTGCGGTGAACTCGTCCACCCAGGCTTCAGCGGACTCCTCTGACACCTGAATAGCAATGAAGAGCAACGACAATGGTTGTTGTGAGTCTGCATGTGCTGCCTAAGAAAACTTATGACCATGAAAGATGGTGACATTGAAAACAGGAAAAATGAAGCAGGAAGTTAATGTAAAGGAAGCAAAGATGAGAGAAGAACATAAAAAGGTAATTTGCTACAACTTGATTTCTTTCTTCCTATTTTTTTGTAGTAAGACAGAAAAAAAAACTCAACAGCAAAGTCACTGATAGCATCTTTAATCTATACATAAGATAAAAATCTGCATACAGTAGTAAGTTTTACCATTAAACTAACTTAAAAAAACCTACTGCTGCCACGACCACAAAGGTCCTACCTGCCTGACGACTTTGGCCCACTGCTCTGCTTGTTTAGCTTTAACTTTCTCAATTTGTTGATTCGTCTCTGGAGGCTCCAAGGGAAGAGTCCCTCCCCCCGTCTCCGTCAGGAACTACGGTGGGAGGCGAGGAGGAGTGGCAAAAATGGAGCAATGTTTTTTAGGAGCAGGAAGCAGTTGGTGGGAAGGTTTTGATTTGGAGGGTTGGGTGGAAGAAGCATAGTTTGAAGTAGAATAGGTATAAAATTAAATGAAGTTTGTTATTTGAGGGAATGGCGAGCCAGGAGTTTGAGGGCAGGTCAAAAAATGGGAACAGCAAATGTTAAAGTTAGAAACCATGGAACTACGTTCATCAGTCAGAACAAAAACAGAGCTGAGAGTGACTCTGAACAATATGGAAGACCCTGTTTTTCAACCAAGAACAGGAAAACACAAATAAGAATAAATGGGAGAATAACAAGCGATAATAACTGAGATGATTAAATTTTGATAAATAAGGAACACATTTACAAAGATATGATTAAAGAATATATTAATACTTCGTATGAATAAGCGCTCGCTTCTGAAAGACTAACCTAAATACAGTTACTGGTAAAAAATCAAGAACCAATAAAGTGTACAGAAACTATTTTACTTATGTTATCATATTTTCCCCCTAATAACTGTCTAAGGGGTCTTAATGATAATCTTGTTTAAAGAGTTTTCTCTTAAATTAACAAGAGCAGAGCATTTTGAACTTTTCCATAAAAAAAAAATGGTATTGCCTAAAAGAAATCTTCCAGCTTCAACATTTTAAAGTTTAAACATAGTTTGTTGAACAAAAAAAATGAGAAAAGTATTTAAAAATGAGCATGTAGAGTTGAACACCATTAGTAAATATTCTGACACGTAAGGAAAAAAACATCTTAAATTAATTAGATACAAAAAAAACTAAAAAATAAATATTACTGACTATATTATTTATGGGATGACATGAACCTTATTAGACAACATTTTCAGATGCCAACTCCAAACTCTTAAACAACACAAAGTAAAAAAAATTTTTGTACTAGCAGTACTTATCAGTTCAGTTTTATCCAGATTTATTTTCAGAGTAACTACTTGCCTGGTTTTAATTTAATCTACAGTTTGTGATTTTTCTATTGAACTATTTTTGCTCGTCTTGCTAGATTCTGCACAGTTTTCCAGCCTTATGATTTTGGCAGGAAAATCAGATAAAACCTAAAATTTGTCTTTGACTGTTTAACACCTGAAATTACAACTAGAGTAAAAGCCAGACTAGAGAAAACCCTGAAACAACCAGAGCTTGGCTGCAGGCATGAGGAACTCAACGAACATGAAGACAAGTTGCAGAACAAATCTGTTCTGCAGCCCTGAGATTCATATTACTGAGACTGTGGCTCTGTTTGGGTACATTTGTGGAAAATGTTACGCTGCGTCAGATACTGGGGTGATGAGTCACGAGGCAGAGCCTACGCTGTGCAAAAAATTAAAATAAAAGAACCAATTCGCTCCCCCAATATACTGGGTTCCTGGCTGAAACCATCCCCTCTTCAGTGGGCTGTGACTCATACCTGGTTGAGGTTGGAGGCCCAGTTCTGAGCCTCCTCGGCCTGAACTTTATCTTTGAGCTGTTTGTCTGTTCTGCTCTCCACTGTCACACTGCCCTCGCCAATCTGCCTAACGAATCGCAGGAACTACACAACAATAAAAAATAAAAAAAAAACGACAACAAAAATGTGTTTATCATCACTAACTGGTCATATGTTGCTATTATGCAGCTAATTTCATAAGAAACCCTGACAAAAACCTTAAAAAACAAACACCAGGAAACCTGAGTAATCATAGTTCTACAATTTTAAAGATTTACTTTATGGAAATATTAAAGACAAAGAAAAAGAATATGGTGAAAGATATGCAAAAAGGATTGATGCATGGTGCAAATATGACCTAGGACTGACTGGGAGACATGCTGCTCACCTCTGTGTTTTGTAACTTAGGGTCATCAACCTTCGAGACGAGCTCATTGGCCGTTTGCCTCAGCTCATCTTCAGGCTGATACTCCTTTGTCCTGTCAGATTGAATACAAAGCACTAACGTGACACTGGGCTGAGGTTAAAGCTGAAGCAAAAGTTCCGTTTTCTTGTGGTTCTGCAGGCTGGAATAAATTAATTCAAGCTGAAAGCAGTGCTCTGCCTTTTGTTTGATGCCAGCGAAGACCAAGGCCAGTTTTCTTTACACGAGCTTTCACTCTTGCTCAAATGCAAGAGCTTTTATCTAGATAAACTCAACATAACAATAAAAATACAGATGAGGTTAAGTCATAAAAAATGATAATCGGTTTGACGTATTTATTCAACGAGAGGATTTTCAAGGTTTAACTTTGCATTCAGGTCTAACTTTAGCTTTTTTTTTGTGCTTCTCTTCTCTTTTACACCTCGACAAGTGTTGCGCCTGTGCTGCAGTTTATTAACGTTTATAAAATGTGTAAACGCTATTCATTATTTATCAGCGTATTTTCAGAGCATACGCTGCTCCCACCATTCACTCTCCTTGTCTCCAAGGTCCCCCAGCCACAGCTTCTCCTCAGATTGCTCCAGATATTCCTCTGCCCAGCGACCAGGGTCTGGAGTAAAGAGAGGGAATCGGTCAGCAGAGCAAAAGCTAAAAAAATACTGTACATTAAAAAAGAAATTTGTTCTAAACGCTGAGCTCATTTAAAAACAGAAGATAAACATCACAGCTCTGAGTATCCGGTGTGAGAGAAGGACTGACACGAACTCGAATTACCTGCGGCCTCAGCGATAAATTCTCTCGTCCAATCAGCATCTGCTGCATCGCCAAGAGCATTTAGTCCTGATGTGGCAGCAGAGTCAGAACCCGAGAGGAACTCGGCTGCCCAGTCACCCGAGAGGGCCAGCGCTGCCACATCTGGAGCTGCGACATGAAAACATTTATGCCTAGTCAAAACCGTTTGTGCATAATTTAAACCAAGCCTATAGAAAATACTTCAAACTGGGATGTAAAACTGATAAATAAGTACAAATGATGGAATACCTCGTTGTGGAGCTTGTCTGTAGCTCTGCTGGTCAATCTGCTGCATTTCCTCCAGTAGCTGACCCATGTCAAAGGTGTGTGGGGGTCGCGGTGGTGCCTGAAGGAACTCATTTACAAGCTGAAGCCAAAACACAACAATATTATTACAGCTAAAGGTGACCATTTTAAAAGCTATGTTCAGAATTTATATAAAATTCTTGTTTTCTTCTTCTTTCAGCTGCTCCTTCCTCAGGAGTCACCACAACAAACTAACTCGCACAAAGACTTGGCAATTGATTTTACACCGGATGTCCTTCTTGATGCTACCACAGCCCTCGGTGTGGAGCAGAGAGCTGCCGTCTAGAGCGCCAGGAGCAGAAGGCAGTTAAGAGCCTTGCTCAAAGGCCCAGAGTGGGTCAAACGAGGATGGAGGCAGGTGTGGATACCACACCTTTCCCACCCACATTTTGATGTTGTCAGTCTGGGGATTGAACCGATGACCTTTCAATCACAGGATTGCCTTTTCTAATCTCTGTACAACCACTCCCCCAGAATTTATATACTAATACCTGGGATAAATCTCATTAAGAAAGTATTCTAATAACTGATAGAAAACAAAACAACACTGACCTCTTCTTCTGTTGCTATTTCGATGGGTGTGGGAGCAATCTGATAAAATAAAGGTAAAAATAATAGAGCCAGCGGGTGATTAAATGATTATTTAAAAAATTTTAAAAAATTTAATCTATTACAATGAGCTACTCACTGTTGGTGTTGAGCGATGCCGCCAAGCTCCCTCTTCTTTGGTCATGTGACTGGTCAACTTCATGAGAGGATTGGCTCCCCCACATTCTGCCTCCACCAACTCCCGCATCGCCATGGCAACACAAGGACGAGGCAAACCCGACCACCCCACCTAAAAGCTAAGAAGAGAATGAAAAGATGCAGCGCTAAGTTTGACTAATTTTAAAACTTAAACAACATCGAGGTTCTCTTCCTGTGCTGCCGTTTTCTTTTTGTATCTGATAAAAACAACAGTTTCACATTAACAACAAACAACACACAAAATGAACTGTTTTTAACATTTAACAGTTTCTGATACACTCCTGCTTCGGTAGATTCATTCAACACCAATCTGCAGTGCACGTGTTTCAAATAATAAAATAAAAAAAATGCCTACACTAAATAGTTTCCACACTATAAATCCAAGACGTCTTTCCACAGCAAAAGGAAAGTTATCTGGTCTGCAGATGTCTCAGTGCTCACAAACAATCGGTAGCAAGTGCGGTTAATCTCATAAAACGGCACGTAATCAATCACTAATTCAAACAGTTACCAAAAAATGTCATGACTGCACTTTTTGGTATCAAGGATTAAGATTTTGACATATCATTTTAAAGAAGGTAAAATGCTCAATAGAGTATAGCCAGACATAAATGAGAATCTATCGGATCACCGCAAACCAAAATGATAAAAATTTGCACAACTGTCAGACAAAATTCTCTGTAACATCTCATTTTATAACTACAAAGCACAAAAACAAACATTTAGATTTACTGCATGCAATTATTGTTAATGTTTTCTAATAACTGAAAAAAAAAAAAACTATTTAACAAATGAGCCAGAAAAGTGACATTTGGAAATTTCTATGCAGCATCAACAAATTCAGACTCCATCTGCTGTTTTTAATTTCACCTTCTAACTTTAAGTGAACCGTAAATACTGAGGACATCAAGGAGGCCCAGAAGGGACTTGAATATTTTCTGCATATTTCACTTAACCTGTCCAGTAAATTCAGATTATTTTAGCTTTTAATGTCATGGCAAAAACAACATTAGCATGTTTAAAAACAAAAATTACTGAGTGCAATTAGTATTTTATGAACAGATGAAAAGTTACAAATACAAGCCAAATTAATTGGTTATATGTTATTCACTCACCTGAATCTCCAAAACTATGGTAATGCCGTTTCAGTTTAGAAATGGTTTAACATAAAGCCTTCTGTCTGCTGTCCTTGCTGATATGCAGCTCCATGCATGAACATCCGACCAAATGTTACATTTGCTGACCTATTCAAAATCTCTCTAACCTCCCTCCCTGGAGGGACTTGCAACAATGACCATTTCAATAATGAAAACGAGAAGAAATTTAATTCCCTGTCTGTTCAAATCTACTCTATAGTAGAACAACTAATTGTATTCACCTAAAAAGAACTATTACACAACCCACAGCATGCAGGTGGACTGCTCATTTCTCTCATTGCAGCATGTAGACTGATTCACACACAGCTGCTACATTATGATTAGGGTCAAAGTAAGAGGATTAGACAAAGATTAATAGACATTATCATAGATAGGACACTGTGACACTTGTTTACACACATACATTTCCACGGTTCACTATGAAGAAAGGCTGTGATATTTATTAAAGGTGTCCTATGTTTTACAGCAAAAAAAAAATAACCCGAAAACAAGTCATATCAAGGGTTTAACGTACACCTGTCAGTCAGCGTTCAGGTACCACGACCCTCACGCTAGCCGTGGCTACAAACAGCAACATTAGCTTCGTTATCTTCTCATGCAACATATAAGCTCATTAAACAAACGAAAAACGGAAAAATAAACAATTAACGAACGCTCGGCTGTTAAAACTAGTGTTCTGGGTGTTGGTTGGCGAGCTATCAGCACAGGACCAGGGCACAGAGATCATTCCTGTAGCGAGTACCCAGAGGAGTGCGATTAGACGGGTAGCATGATGTTCATCTCACCGCCGAGAGCTCCTCCTGATGTGGCTGAACAGTCCCTCTGCTCCGGTCTGTGTTTCTGTGTCCTCCCCGGCTCCCGTTTCTGCAACCGAGTTGGAACAAAGCTATCCCGAAAGCGTCCAACACCGACCGCCGAGTTCTATTTACCTTCTTCCTCCATGACCCAACACAAAACCCTTTGAACCGCTTGAAACAGCCTAGTAACGTTACGCTGGCTACGTATTCTTCAAACGTTTTTACGTACGGGGACGCAATAGGTCAAAACAAAGTACGTTTACGTCAAAATAAGACCAAAGTCTAACAAAGACCTTAGTTGCAAAATCATGCATCCGCGTTTGTTTGTACAAATGAATTATGTATGTATATATTGCATACTACTTATTTAATATATTTATTTAATATATAAATACATAATAAATTATTGAGGAAATACAGAAGCCACAGGAGCATCCACCTAGTCTTTTCAATCAATCTGTTAAAAAAAATAATGCACGGTAAAATAAATAAAAAAATCTTAAGTTCAAAATTGCAAAGAACAAGTCTTTAACCTATGCTGTGTACCACATGAGGTGCGAATGACAATAAAGAAACTCTCTCTCTCTCTCTTTTGTTTTTTTGAACGTCCAGAGGACCAGATTTAACTTTTTTTTTTATTGTCTATTGTTGTTGCTGTTGTCCATTGTTGTCCTCATTCTTTGTTGAAATCAGGTCTCTCTTGTAAATGAGTCTTCGAGGCTCAATGGGATTAACCTGTCTAAATAAAGGTTGATTGAATAAATATTTATAAATACTCTGCATTAGCTACAAGTTACCCTAGTACTACATTTTACGCTGCTTTTTCTCTTTTTCTTAAGAGTATTTAGTAAGAAAACACACAGAGTTGATCATGATTGTTGCTTTTTATCACCACAACAAAACGCGGTTGAGGCCTTTTTGTTGTCCTTTTCTACAGAAAATACCTGTTCCATGTTCCTGTTTTTAGTTTTCTACATTTGCCTTAGAATCTAGCTGTTTTTTGTTTTGTTACCTTTTTTCTTTTAGCCATCCTATTTGTTAGAAAAACAAAACAAAACAAAAAAACTGTAGTATGAGTTTTTTATAACTGTTTATTGTTGTTGCTGTTGTCCATTGTTGTCATCTTTCTTTGTTGAAATCAGGTCTCTCTTGTAAATGAGTCCTCGAGGCTCAATGGGATTTACCTGTATAAATAAAGGTTGATTGATAAAATGTTCTAAAAAGATTTAGGGGGTTTGAGGAAACATCAGTTTAAAGGTCAGACCTGCAAACCACTAATGGGTGTTTGTGGCTTTTACCAACTCTGGCAACATTACTTAAAAAAAAAAAAAAAACTTGAGCTATAGTGATCAGTTTAGCCACTTGATCTTGGGAGTCCTTTGGAAAACCATTACTATTGAACAAGCCATAAATGCATCCAGGAATGCAACCCTATTACACAAGGAGGAAGCTATATATCAGCTCGCTACAGAAAGTGATAAAATCTCAGAACACTAACTGACCTTCGATGAACAGAGACAATAACATGCTTTAGAGTCAGACAAGTCCAAATGTTTGCTTTTTTTCAGAAAGTAAAACAGATCAAATATTTTAGGGGAAAAATTATATGTACAAGCATTTCTTCAAGCTTACATTTCACAAGTACCGCTTCTAATATCAAATTGTATTTTTAAAGAAAACCCTCCACAGTAATAAGGAAACCTTCTCGTGGAGACGTCATATAGTGTTTTTATTATGAATTTTGTAATGTTTTTTGACAGTTCTCAATAACAATAAGTCAGCGTAATCCATCTCAGCATTGTATCATTAATTACAGGTAATGTTCAAACATAGTAATAATATAAGGTATTATTCAATGCAATGTTTATTCCTTCTCAACGTCACACTCAGAAACAACAGGCTTTATTTACTGACAGCCTTAGCACTGCACATTAATAGGCTACACGGACAGACAGCAAGAGACACAGGGGGAGAGGTGAGGGGGAAGTGGGGGAGGGAGGGAGAGGTGAGGAGAAGCACATGGTTGTACATTCATCGAACAAAAGATGACAAATGGAGTGGGAAGGTGACAGAAAAAAAAAAAAAAACCAACATAATAATATATAGAAAAAAAGATTTTTTTCTTAAAACGTGAAAAAGAAAAATAGACCCTGAATTCTGACATATGAACGAGAGACGTTTTGAAGTATCACAACAATGTGCCCTCCTTTTTTTGTGGTTTATATGGACAAATTCTTAAATTACAACAATATTACACACAAATAAAGAGACACTCATCAACCGGAGATGATCGTCCTTATCACTACTACTATTATTAATATTATCATTATTGTACTATTTTCTGATGCTGGAAAGGCGATTCCTTAAATGGAAATAAAGAAAATCATAATATGCTCCCTCTTGAAAATGTGCAGAAAAGAGAACGAGTGAACGCAGGAATAATAGATATAACAATAATATTAATAGTCATCATCGTATGTACAGAAAATTCATTACAATCAATACAATCAAAACTGCCCAAGCTGAGCGGACATTCTGGAAATAACGGGTAGCGCAATGGACTGTGTGTGTTTTAGTGTGTTTGCATGTGACGTCCAGCAGAGCTGTGTGCATTGGACTATGTGAAGGGGGTCAGGGGTCAGAGGTCAGTTGATTTTATGGCACAAGCTGGAACTCTGCAAAGACTCCAGTTTGAAGCAGAAATCTAGCTGATATACTAAATTTAATGTTGATTAAACGCCAAGCTGTTATTCTGTATTCTTGGCGTATCACAGAACTAGAGCTTGTGTAAGAGTTGAGGTCTGAGGTTGGCAAGTGTCCAACATTGATAGGTGGTCCAAAAAGAATAAACCCAGGATCCAATGAAACTAATCTCACTATAGCGAATGGGTAAAAACCTATATATGTGACCATGATGTCTGACTGCACTGTCTTCACTCTGTGGTGGTTAAAGAATATTTCAGAAGATGGTGAAAAGAGGGAGAGAAGAGCTTGTGCACAGACTTTCTGAGTCAGTCTAATAAAAAACTTCAAACGTGTGGGATCAAGGATCGTGTCTTTGCTTAAGGATTGACCCAAAGCCTTGTTCCAGTTTTGTAGATTTCACCTTTTTCCAATAACAAAGGAAGAATACATTTTTTTTTTAAACTTTAAACAAAAACAGTCCCTTTCAACCAGCATTGCACTATACAGACACTTCACCATGTTGTGATTTAGATCTAGTGCACCACATATAATTTTGGTGGAATTTAGTTAGGCGGTTAGATTACATTAACTGTATACATTGTGCCATTGAACATTTAGGTGGAGAACAACAGCCTGTTGTCGGCTATAGGTCACATATGGCGTTGTTATAGTGATTGTGTTGTGCGTTGTGTTGGTAAGCGTACATTCCTTATACATGTGGAGTCAGCATATTAAAGGTGTTGGAGTGTGTGACTGGTGAGCTGAGTTGTGGTTTCCATGAGAACTCGTGCAGAGATACGTGTTGTGGCTCAGTAGCGACGGGCGTTTCCGTCCCTGCACTCCTTCTTGATGATGATTCGCTGGTCGTCACTTGCGTCATCAGGCGACTCTGCTACCTCCTCGTCTTCCTCCCCCTCCCCCTCCCCCTCCGTATCAGCAGAGATGCCCATACGAGACTCGTAGGACTGTGGGAGCACATGCCGATGAAACCACATGTCAAACATAGATCTATTATTTACAACAAATCAGCTGCTGTTACCTCCATTGGGTTGACAATGATGGTGAGCGCTGAGTCGTCCCATTGGCTGCTTCCCTCCTTGGGCCCGCCCCTGGCGCTGTCACCTCGACGGTGGATAGAGCGAATTCGGAAGACACCCAAGATCACCATGACAACCAGAAAACCCACACACACCATGATGATGACGGTCGCTGCTCCTGGAACCACTGCAATAAAATAAAAATAATTACGTGTTACGTGTATAATTTAGATTTAAAACAATGATTTATATAAAAACTGCTTTGTTCAATAACGTCAAAGCACATGAAAAGAGCAAAACGAGCCAAAGCCTGATGCACAATCATTGCTTTTCAAATCAGTTACTAACACATCAATGTACCACACTAATGAAAAGGTAGAAACCATATCTTCACAACAACGAACAAATGAACGAGTCCTGCTGCTGCACTTTAGACACATTAATGCATGAACTAAATTAGCCGCCTACAATCCCAATGATTTTTTTGATAAATGGTGCTCAAATATGCAAAGCTCTTTGGTTTAAAAATTCAGCAGAAACAAATGGGCTATGGGCTGAGACAAAAATTCTGGAGGGAGAATTTTATTTCTGTCAAAGTCTCCTTCAGATTAATAAATACCCAAAATGATTTATGGATGCTTGTCTTTAATTCGCAATAAGTGAAGACATCCTGTATGCAGACCACGTTACAGGAAGGTTGTAAATAATCTGATAGCTCCAATCTTTAAACAGGATGCAACAAATACTAGTATGTGTTTTATACTATACTTATATATTTATTATAGCTATTATTAATTTATTATTTATAGCTTTTGTTTTCTAAGATTTTATTGGTTTAAAAACACTTTTAACAATTTAATTTCATGAATATGAGTGCAAAGCAAATAGTTTGCATTTGTGGTGGAAAATTTAATCTCTCACCCAGCACAAAAAAGATAAAGGCGGACAATAACGGTTTTGCCTATTTCTACTGATTTATGTGTCTGTTAGCAAAATATCTCATAAGCCACTGGATGGATTTTATCGAAACATTCAGAAGATCTGTGGGTTTAGTGTCGATTCGACTTTTATGAAAATGTTTTATTCATGTTTTGTTTTATTGAGTCTCTTTTAACTTGTACCTTCATCTGCTGGTTTGGATTTTTTTGACATGCAAAACAGGAACAAACTCTTGGGGATTGTCAGGATGTCCAGCAAAACTGCTGGCATAGCCCTACAGAACCTCCCTGACCTACACAAGGCGAGGTCGGTGAACAAGGCCAGGCTGATTCTGGCAGATCCTGATCATCCACTCCATAGTGAGTTCAGGTTGCTTCTGTCTGGACACAGGTATCTGCTGTCCAGATGTAGGACAAACAGACTAAAAAACTAATTCATCCTTGTAGCTATTAGGCTTCTCAATGAATGATGATGATTTCTATACTGTTATTTGAATGTCTCAATGTCTTGTCTTGTATGAATGTTTTATGAGAATACTGACTGTGAAACAAATTGCTTCTTGGGGATAATAAAGATTCTTGAACTTGAATCCAATTCAAGATGGCCACAACAGCTAACCAATATTAGCCCACACAAAAATGACTATAATTCAGTGGGTTTTACAACTATTGAGCTAAAAGTTGATGTGGTAGTAGCTGAGTCATTTAGAATACAAACTCAATCATTTCTTAACAAAAACCCTGGTATAAAAAGCAGCATTCCTTTATTGAGTATTAGTCTATTGAGCTTTTTAAGTCGGTATTTTGATTTAGGCTTGTTGAATGTTCCTCCAGAAATAAAATTTTAAATAATCATGAACTCATGTTCCGCATGCTGATAATGAATCCTCACGGGTCTTGATACCCACCCCTGGTTTAGCTGGTAGTGATGACAGACAATAAAGTGAGGGAGTTAAATAATATGTTAATCACAACGGATTTTGTCATTGCAATACAAAAGAATAATATCACACAAAAGTTTTTCTAATTTCCTGAAGCCCTATAGTGCCTAAGATCTTAATGAGTTAGATGAAGATGTGAAGAAAATCACAAATTTTCAAACTGATCTTCAGAAAAAAAAAATCTAAATTTTAATATTTGCCAGACATCAGAAAGCTTTAGTGAACTGAAAGTGCTTAAACATATTTGCTACAAGGCTGTGGTTCAACGGAGGAATGAAATATAAAGTGTAACATAAATAAAAAAAATTTAAAAAAATTTAAACTGAATTCTTGTAAGGGAGATTTGTCATGTTGAGACACTGTTTTCCCATTTTCCTGTAGTGTAATTATTTGTCTTCCTGGTTCTCATAATTTACCGGTACTGATTGTTCTGTGTGTGTGTGTGTGTGTGTGTGTGTGTGTGTGTGTGTGTGTGTGTGCGTGCGTGTGTGTGTGTGTATGTGTGTGCAGACTATTGCTGCATTTACCAACAAATCAGACAAATTAACTCCTACACCATTCCTCGTTTCTTGCTCATCCCCTCTCCACATTGTCAGTTCACCTTCTCGGCACTAAGCACAGCAGGCCACTCCTGTTTAATATTATTTTTCTGTGTGTTTCTCTCACATCCTGGGATTCTTCCGTTTTCTGTAAATGTGTCAGGTCTCCAGTGTTTGGGTGCAGAACAAGCTGCCAGTTTCAATCAGCGATGCTCAGCCTCTCACCGACGAACCTGCCAGCCGACCTGTCCAATTCAAACTCTCTGACAAACTCAACCTCTGAGACTTAAATACACGTCAGGTTAGCTTTCAATGTTTGGTATCCTGCTCAGACAACCTGCTTGGCCACAGCCAGCCTCTGTAATCCACTCGCTGCCACACTTAGACTGCCTTACGCAGACCTGGTTTAACCTCAAACTGATGATAAAACTGGTTCAATGTATCACGGGCTTGTCTGTTTTCTGATCTTTACTTATTTAAAAAAATAGTAACAAGATCTGCCAGAGCTTTTTATATATATTCTGTTAATTTATGTTTGTTGGCTGTTATAGCCAAATGTTTTTTTTTATTCTTTCTCATAGTATTATTTGAACCTGTTTAAACAAAAAGACGTAGATTTTTGTATGTTGGTGCCGATTTCTACTTGATCTAATGCAAGTCTTCAGAGCTTTTAAAAAAAATATTTATTTGAATGCTAACATATTGGTCTTCTAAAAGTGAAGGCTTCATAGAAGATTTTACATGGGCTGAAAGAAGTCACCTGAGTTGCGGTGTGGATTTGGCAAAGTGTGTCCGCTCAACTCTCCAGCATGGTGGGACGGATGGAGGAACTGCTGCTGTGAGGCCAGCAGGTGGGACGGGTGGTACAGACTGTCCAAAGAGTGGAGGAAGTTCACCTACGAGGCATAAAAACAGAGTTACTCATTGCAAATTGCATCACAGCTATATCATCATGAGTCTACATTCCAGCTTTTATACAAATAATTTCTCAAAAGGTCGAGGCTGATGTCTGAAGGATGTTCTGAGGTGCTGTCTGTGAGAGGATTTCTTTACCTCCAGAGTCAACTCGTTGCTCGTGTATCTGCCGTTCATCTCAGAGCAGGACAGGCGGAACCGCCTCTCAAAGCGAGCAGAGCCTTTGGCTAGGCGGTATCGGACTGAGCGAAGGACGTCCTCGTAAACAGAGATAGATTCAGCACCTGGAGGAGACATAAAACAAAGAAAATATAAAAAAGAGCAGAGCAAAAAATAAGACAAGGAGTTGATAGCAAGACAAAGCAGCAGAGAAAAGGGGTCTGTGTCTACAGCATTTATTTATCAGACCAGTGAAGTTCAGCTGTAGATTTGAACTGGGACTATATTTTTAATAAATTTTTTGACTGGAAGAGAAAGTTAGAGCTGTAGAATTGTATTTCTATGCACCAATTAATACATGAGAAACCATATTTAGGCAGTTTAAAACAAGAGAATATCAAAGTTAGGGTACCACTTTATAATAAGACTCTCCTTATACAAACCGAATTCCAAAAAAGTTGGGACACTAAACAAATTGTGAATAAAAACTGAATGCAATGATGTGGAGGTGCCAACATCTAATATTTTATTCAGAATAGAACACAAATCACAGATCAAAAGTTTAAACTGAGAGAATGTATCATTTTAAGGGAAAAATCTGTTGTTTCCAAATTTCATGGCGTCAACAAATCGCAAAAAGTTGGGACAAGTCCATTTTTACCACTGTGTGGCATCCCCCCTTCTTCTTACAACACTCAACAGACGTCTGGGGACAGAGGAGACCAGTTTCTCAAGTTTAGAAATAGGAATGCTCTCGCATTCATGTCTAATACAGGCCTCTAACTGTTCAATCGCCTTGGGCCTTCTTTGTCGCACCTTCCTCTTTATGATGCACCAAATGTTCTCTAGAGGTGAAAGATCTGGACTGCAGGCTGGCCATTTCAGTACCGGGATCCTTCTCCTACGTAGCCATGATGTTGTGATTGCTGCAGAATGTGGTCTGGCATTATCGTGTTGAAAAATGCAGGGTCTTCCCTGAAAGAGATGACGTCTAGATGGGAGCATATGTTGTTCTAGAACCTGAACATAGTTCTCTGCATTAATGGTGCCTTTCCAGACATGCAAGCTGCCCATGCCACAAGCGCTCATGCAACCCCATACCATCAGTGATGCAGGCTTCTGAACGGAGCGTTGATAACAACTTGGGCTATCCTTGTCCTCTCTGGTCCGGATGACATGGCGTCCCAGTGTTCCATAAAGAACTTCAAATCGTGACTCATCTGACCACAGAACAGTCTTCCATTTTGCCACACTCCATTTTAAATGACCCCTGGCCCAGTGCAAACGTCTGAGCTTGTGGAGCTTGCTTAGAAATGGCTTCCTCTTTGCACTGTAGAGTTTCAGCTGGCAACGGCGGATGGCACGGTGGATTGTGTTCACTGACAATGCTTTCTGGAAGTATTCCTGAGCCCATGCTGTTATTTCCTTGACAGTGGCATTCCTGTTTGAGGTGCAGTGACGTTTAAGGGCCCGGAGATCACGAGCATCCAGTAGAGTTTTACGGCCTTGACCCTTACGCACAGCGATTGTTCCAGATTCTCTGAATCTTTTGATGATGTTATGCACGGTTGATGATGGTAACTTAAAAGTCTTTGCTATTTTACGCTGGTAACACCATTCTGGTATTGCTGCACTATCTTTCTGCGCAACAATGGTGGAATTGGTGATCCTCTTACCATCTTGGCTTCTGAGAGACACTGACATGTTGTCAATTGACCTAATTAGTGTTAATTGGTCTTCCAGCTGTTCGTTATATGCTCAATTTCCTTTTTCCAGCCATTTATTGCTACTTGTCCCAACTTTTTGGGGATTTGTTGACACTGTGAAATTTTGAATCAACATATTTTTCCTTTAAAATGTTACATTTACTCAGATTAAATTTTTGATCTGTCATCTATGTTATATTACAAATAAAATATTGACATTTGCCATCTCCACATCATTGCATTCAGTTTTTATTCACAATTTGTTTAGTGTCCCAACTTTTTTGGAATCCGGTTTGTAGATGGCTAATAAATAGTTATTATTTCCTAAATACGTTATAAATCATTAATAATTGTTTATTATGCATTAATTAAGGGTGACGGAGAGACACAACTGACCAATTTTTGCCAAATAGTGAGCTAAATCTGTTCACATATATATTTCATCTAGAGTTGTTATATTAAACATTTCAGACTAAGTTTCTACCTTGTAAGCACATTAAGCATTTGTAAACCCTAATTTTTTTAGGATATAATATTAGTTGTAGATACTTATAATGCAGTGATGATAAAGTACAATATTATATGCTAAAAAAAATTGGTTTACAAATGCTTAATGTGCTTACAAGGTAGTAACTTAGTCTGAAATATTTAATATAACAATTCTAGATGAAATATATAGGTAAACAGATTTGGCTCACTATTTGGCAAGAAAATGGTCAGTTTTGTCTATAGTTTTTTTTGTAGAGGAATTCATAACGTATCTATAAATTGTTTATTAGCCATCTATAAGGAGAGCCTTATTATAAAGTGGTACCAAATTTATATTATCCTACATATTTTATGTTTGACTAATTATTTTTTTTCTTTCCAAGAAAATTTAGTTAAAAAAATTCTTAACAGTTCAGCCGTACCTGTAATGGCAATGTAAGCAGTCGTGTTGATGATTTCCAGTCCTCGCTCTCGCACAACATCCATGTCCACCAGAAGCTCCTCCCTCTCTGGGTTTAACTCCTCCCCCAGTGGCTGCACCTCACAACCATCCAGCGTGTGAGCCACGGCATCAGACATCAGAGCTAAGAAGTAAAGTAAAAACAGCAAAACGTCTTTTTTTACTAAAAACCCTGGAATCCCCCCCAAAAAAGTCAAACACTCAAGCTCAAGTTAGTGAAACCTTCTAATATTAGGTTATTGGAGGGATGACTCACCTCCACCCTCCATCCCCTGCGCAGCTGTGTTGACAGCATGTGACAGCGAACAGACGATCCGGAGCTCCGGGAACAGGGGAACGCCACGGGGACCTTCGAATTCAGGAGCTGGACGGGCCAGATGTGGACCGACCCCAGACAGAGAGATCTGAGGGGCGTCGGGTTGGAGAACCACCAGATATCCTTCCAGCTGCTTGAGGGACAAGCAGCTCTCCTCATTGAAACATCTGACAGAAAATTAAAGAAATTCAAGTCAGAAAAATCATATTTTGTGTACGATAAAACAACATCCACCATTTTAGAAAAATGTATCCTTACAACTTCAGCAAGCAGTTGTCGTAAAGCATCGCAAAACTTTGAATATTTGCAATCATTTGAGTATAAACTCTGCACTTGATTGAAATAATTTATATAAAATTAAGGATTGCAGACATTACTGCCACAAAGGGGGACTTTGTTAAGCATTCTCTTGATTGACATTATTTAAAATGTATGTAAATTTATGCAGTCAAACTAAACTTATTTGCTTTCAAATCTCTTCAAAAGTCTTCAGAAGATGCCACGGTTTCTTGAGTTGTTCGGTTCTCTCAGCCAAAGCTTGTATATAAGATCTAAAGTCATTCATTTTGGCTTAGCAACTGAGAGGCATACAGACTAAATTTGAGGATGTTTCTGTGGGTTTATTTTATTTTTTATTTTTTTAAATGCCCGGAGGCCCGTAAGGGTGAGATCAAACTGATGCTGAGCATTACTTCAGGCAGTTTTCCAGATTTTTTTCCTCTGACAGCTCACTCTTCTTCAAACACGCCTCAGTGATGTACAACATCTTTAAACAATTCCTGACATGTAAAACTGGCACTGTTTAACATTACTGGTAAAAATTTTACAGGTTGCACATCATCGTGCTGCTAACAGGATGGACTCAAAGCAACACTGCAGCAGTGAAGCAGTTTTCATGCTCAGACACACTGCAACCAGAAAAAAAAAATCATGTCCCTATTTTTTCAGTCACGTACCCTGATTCCACCACGACCGTGTCAAAGCTAATCTGTTGTGACACTCCTAATGACAACTGGAAAACTACAACAACTCTGCTGTTACCAAATGTAATTTTCCTGCCAGAAGAGAGAAAAAATCAGATTGATAGAGAAGTGCTAGCACATATTCACTCATTTGAACTAAAATTCACCATCATGTGTGAAAGGGCATTAAGCTGATTAAGTGTGTGTGTGTTAAATTTCCACTATCGGAGTGAGCAGCTGCTTTTATCGGCCTCTCCAGAAGGGCCTGCTGTTCAGCCATCTGGGTAACTCCTGGGCTCAAATCAGTCTAATCTTCACAAACGCAATAAACACGCCAAAGTCAAGCGGAAAAAAAATATTTCTGTGTAAGGGAAAAAAATCTGTCCATGCCCTTGAATTCCTGAGATCTTAAAAGTGCCAGTGGAAAAAAATATGTGCTAGCACTTCTCTATCAATCTGATTTTTT